CGTCATCGAAATTTACGTCCTCGATAGCATCGCTTCGTCAGAATTCACCTCCCCGTCGTTACGTAAACGCTTCTGTTCCTTTTTTTTTATTACATTTGTCGCATCGTCTCTCGCGATTACGATAATGCACCGGCAGGCACGACCGACGTTTCTCAGCACGCGCGTGTTACAAGAAATCCTCAACGAGAACAAGACCGTGAATTCTTGAAAAATACAATCCGACGAGAATGAACGTACGCTTCGCGTCATTCCTTTCGAGGGATGCAATTAAAGTCATTGAAACAACAATCGTACAATCTCAGGTCTTCTGAATTTATGGTAAATTTTGTAAATCGAATAAAAAATGTATCAATTGAAAAGGATGTAATTAAAATTAATTTTATGGAAAAAATATATATCAATGAGGATTTGAGAAGACTAATTAAAATTAATTTTATTGAAAAAAACATATATTAGTGAAGGTTTGAGAAGGCTATAATTAAAATTAATTTTATCGACCATTAATTGTTCCATAAAAGTTCATTCCAATTTCATAACTGGAACGTGAGATGCAACTTAATCAAGGCCACAGAATTTTAATTCGATACGGAAAGCGATGATCGTGAATAAAAATCAATGAAATTTAAATGAAATCGACAAAGGGTATCAGTGTCCGATGCACCCGGAAAAGAATTCGAAGGCTGTGCCGAAATTTCGTTTGGCACGTGTAAGTGAGCTCGGAAGAGATATAATCCATGACGAGCGTGTATATTTCGTACCACGCCTTGGCAAGCGACATTCATTTATTTCGGACGCCAACTTTAAATCCATCGGAACAATTAACCGGCACGGTACCGGTGCACGCGTATCGCGTGGGTGTCGCGTTCAAAATTCACCGAACGATCTTCTTGTAACCCGTGAGTCTCGCGCGCGACAGATAAGAGAAAGACAAGAATTGCTCGAATAAAAATAAGGCTACGTGTACGAACGGTTCGAGCAACTGTGTAAAATCAATTTAAAGCGTCAAGGACGATATTAACGATCTACGTAATTCATTTCTAAGAATTTCTATGAAAGTTGCAATTTAATAATACCTAAAACTTGCAATTAAAAATATCTAAGAACTCGATAAAGGGATTGCAAAATTTGTACACTTCTAAATATCGCTAAAAAGTCGAAGTGACTATAACAGCAATTCCTTCGTTTCTAACTTTTAGTAGTATCATTAATAAACCTCGAAAAATAAACTACGGGCAAGAATTAAACCCATATCCTCGCCGTTTATGAGCGGTCGTTAAAAGTTTCGAGCCACGCCTTGCGTCGTCGTTCAACGAAAGCTTAGAGTTTACGATTTTCGAGGGACAAAAGATTCGGTATAAGACGAATGGAAATTAGGTACATTACCGGGTATATTTGAGCCCGCGGAACAAATGGCATTCAACGTATCGTCTTTGACAAGAAGCATGTATCACTTTCACGAGGACTGCGAACCGTATGGCGGGTGATGAATCGTGCCACGGTGTTCTTTCATTTTTCAAACTCCATAGAGCACCGTGTACGTCGGCGGGTTACGTTTGCTCGAGCCTCGTCGTCGAGAGAAAAATCTATCGGCTAGAAACGCGTGTTGCGAACGTTAAGCGGCCTCCACCCTATACCGGAATTTATTCGAAAGACATTCCCGGCTATTAAGTATGTCCCGCTGCTTGTTCGTGATATATGACCGATAAACGTTCATTTGTGACGAGAAACATTTTTATTGACTTCCACGACGACGCGTAGCCGAGTAATATCGATATTTATGGGACTATTTGAAACCCGCACTCTCTGCCACGGATGCAAATAATATTTAATGTTGCATTATTCAAACGTTATTGGCGGCAGTGTGATTTTAGTACACGAAACGTCGTCGCTACTTTGTCGTGTAAATAATTAACTGCAACTATGTAATATCGTATAAAATGATACTATGACTTTCAGAAAACTGACACGGATACTACTGCGCTAAAATTCCAGGAAAATATTGAATCGCAAAGGAATATCGGGTAAGGTCACGAGGAATGATAACCGTACCACGTGTCCGGTTATGCACGTCACGATGCAAATGCGTATAAAACCGTCTACGTATATGAGAACGTAAACGAACAAACGAACAAAATCACGAATTGAATTCCAAGAGGGTTCGCGAGAGGTTAGCATGCATACTTAATGTTATGCATCACGGTGAATATTATTGATGCGTCTCGCGAATGCAACCGTGATGCACGTCCGAACGATGGCCTCTATTAAATTCGGCTCGACGCTAAATATGCTGATTCGTCGCTGCAGGTGGCGGTGGTGGTGGTGGTGGTTGTTGAGTTAATGGCGAGGCCGTTCGTAGCGGAGAAGGTGAGCAAGGGGCCGACGACCGATTTTCACGGGACAACCGATAGGGGCACACGTGCTGGAGGAACGGGTTCCACAGGAGGGAATTTTTTTCACCGCCAGGACCCGGGTGGATGCGATCGTTGATTCGTCGCACTTGCGAAAAGAACGCGCATATTTATCGTGGTCGTTAATAATGCACCGTCAAGAAAAAGGTCGTGAAGAATTTGTTCGACCGGTACACGCCGCTTTCTGGCTTCGATCTTTGCCCGATTGTCGCGCGGCCTCGTGATTAACGCGATTGTATCGCAAACACATTTTACTGTGAAATTGCATGAAAATTTAACTGGGTGTAAATAATAATGATATCTCAACGCTGACGAGATTTCGAGAAGGCTGACCGTGCCGAAACGAAAATAATTTATAAATCATAATGTTTAATGTAAATCCAGTAGAGAGAAAAATATTTGCGAGAATGATTAATTATGCGAATTTTATAAGGAAAAGAATTCACGCGGGATTTCTAACGCGTCGAAGATGATCTTTCTCACGAAACGTCGGGTGTCGTATATTAAAGAAGGAAAAGAAGATTCGACGCAAACGGAAGCTCCTCGAGTAATGTCGCAGGTGCACGATGAAATTTTCGTCCGTAAATTGAGCAAACCGAGCGACAACGCGCAATTAAATAAATACTCGTAAGATAAACTTGCTTACTTCCTACTAAAGAATGTTTATTCGAAGGGGGTCGAGGTGCAATCCGGCGAAATTCACTGTACGACCGTTTGTATACCGGTTTGTCGAGTTTCCCGACGACGCGACGTTAATTTCTTCAGTTTTATTCCCCGCCCCCTATTTTCGAAATGAACCATCGAGATATCTAAACGTCCGCACTTTGGATAAAGGATCACGTTCCCAAAATTCACTTTATCGAAATATATTGCCGTTCCCCGTGATTGCGATCCTTTAAAGATACATTTTCACGTGACAGTAAATCGCAACGTTTAATGCCATAACACTAATTGTCGCGTTGTCGTGACATTGGACATCATGTAGGGGTGTCCTTCCAAGAACTAAAGGATCCGATCGATTTGCGAAGAATTTAAAAATAAATTTTCTATCTTTAATGACAAGAAAATGATCGCAAGGATACGTCGAGCGCAAATCAATCGTACATCCTTTCGCCATTGATTATCCTTTTTTCACGACATATACGTTCAACTGGTTTACGAAGGCAGGTCGGACTTTTTCCTCGTGTTTTGCCCGTCCGATACACCATGGACGATCGCGAATAAGCGAAGAGAGGAAGAAAAAGTAGAGGAGAAGCGGAGAGTAGGAGGAAGAGAATGAAGAAGAGGAAGAAGAGGAGGGTTAACGCACTCGCCACACCCTGCTTTAAAGATTGTAAACGATTATTAATGCTCCATCGTGGTTGACCCGTAACCCGGCGGTGGATCCCTCTTTCTATCCCTCTTCTTTTCTAAATCCTCCACGCTCGTCTCTTTCTCCACCCTCGAAATATCCGAGCAAAAGTAACGAGACCGAGTGGCATAACCGGGAGAAATCGAACCGATCGGAATACCCGCTGCCGGCCCTTATCCGACGCTTTTCTTAATTAGCCAACTCCATTACCGTGTATAACTCGAAAGTTATGTTCCGTTATGGTAACCAATTTGCGTATTCTATATTGGCCGCATTAATGTTCCGACCGTGGTTAAAAGGCGGCACGAATTTAGGAATTCAAGTTGATAACTCTTGTAAAACTTCCACTGATTAAATATAATGTAAAGAAAATAAAAACATATTTAATCAATCTTTGGATCTCTAACTTTTGTTCCATAGATGGAGTCATTATTTCTGAATTGATTTTATAAAATTTATATATTACAGCATCTTTCGAGGATAATCCGAAGGATCGAAGTAGCAATTTGCGGCAAAGAAATACAAAATATATTAACATCGAAAATGTTACGACCACAAGATAGAAATTCAAGAAAGCGTGAATATTTATGCGATATGAATACTTTAAATTTCGTTAAACCAGGTTTATCGAAATGGTTATGGTAATGTCCACTCTGAGTATCACATCGGAGTTACGATAAAGAGAAAGATGCTAATAAATTGCAAAGAGATGGAAGTTTATAATACGTTCGGTAGTCCTTGTTGATCGATATTTACGAGACAGTTTCGGTTCTTCGGATCCGCCATTATCGAATGTTCCGTTTAAGCCCGCGCGCTTGATAATCAAATGATTCGCGATATGAAACGATACGACTCGCATAAAGATAACGTTTCGGCGCATCGAAGAAGCGTCGATGTCGCATTATGCAAATTGCATGTGACACGTGCTATATATTTAGTGAAACTTGCGGCATACGCGGTGATGAAAGAAACTTTTGCATATAAAACCGCATCGGCCGCGACGGGTCCGCTCGTCAATTCGTAATTGACCGACCGACAAGGAGAAAGAAGATAAAAACGAGGAGAAATCAGGTGTAAAAATATCACCGATACGTTTGGGTGAGATTTTTCGCAACAGATTTCCTTGTATCGAAAAAACATCCGAAAATCTCAAAGAAGATCACGCAAAATAGAAAGAAAAATAAAAAGAGTAGAGACAGATAACCGTATTGGAATTGATAGAAATAGATACAATGACTCACCATGAAAACCATGAACCTTGATTGCAGGTTGGCGCTCTCGATGTAAGTCAGCGTTTCCAGCCGCCGTGCTCGCCGTGTGTTCACTTCCTTTCTCCGTTTCGATCGTTTTCCTGGGATATTAATTCACTTCACAGCCGAGAAATCGATCGGTCAGTCCACTTCGATGATCACTACTCAATTGCACTGTCCAATTTATGAATATACCCCTCGAAGGAACACGCGGTCACCTAAGGGATCATCCGAAACGGAACCGAGGTCTGCGAGATAATTGTGCTCGTTCGATAAAAAGTACGATGCAAAAATAATTGCTTGCTACACGATCCTTATTGCTTCTCGATTATACACGCGTGTAACGTATCTCTATACGGATACATGCGTACGGTATTATCTATCACGTCTAAGTTGTCTAACGACGATTATCCAAATGTGTATTTCCTCCTGTCGTTATATATTAATTAAACTATCTAAGTAACTTATTAATTGGCTATCGGTGGCGACAGATACAGATACTGGCTCTCTACTGGCATCTGATTGGCATACTGGCATGAATACTGGCCCGTTCGGCGTACGTCACCTGCAACATACAAACGTACGTATCTGCATTAGAAATTAGTCAGCACGATTGCGGGAAACTTAACCAGTAACGGCGAGGTTTTATCATAATTCTACTCGTAGCTCGACCCTGCTAAATTAAAATCCTGGAACGGAGTAAAAGCAAGTAATCGTTCCACATTCTAAATGGTCTCGTTCGATGTACACGAGTTGCATGTTCAGCATGTTCCAAAGACAACATTTCTTTCCATTCAATTCGAATCAGTTTTCAATGATTGCAACTTATATACTTTAGACATTCAAACTACTACAATTTACGTTTCGATTCGGAGCTTGTAAGTTAAAAAAAGAAATGAAATCGAGCAAAAATTACGCAATCGAATCGACGGAAAGGTATTGATCGGTATGAGAAAAAACATAACAGATTGAAGATAATAAGGAGCAAATGGCATCATTTTATCGGGCGCGGTCGACAGTACCGGGCCAGGCCCATGACGCACCCGGTCTTTATTTAAATCGTTCGATCCGTCACGCTATAATCGATTAACGCTAACAGCGAGGGAAATGGAGTCGAGAGTGGCACCGTGATGCACGATTTCTCGCTACCGCGTCCTTCGCCAACACCTCCTCTCTTCTTAATCGACCAACTTGTAATCTAATCAACGGCTAAACATTTCGTTCGTTAATCGAGTTCGCCGAGCACGCGTTAGTTTAGATCGTTATCGAGGATATTATGGGAGAATTTCAATTTCATCCAACCTTCGTGCTTCTCCTTTTACTGTTTGATTGTCGTTAACTATACCTAGCAATTTCAACAGAGATACTTCGCTAACGCACGAACGCTAATAATAGAGAAAAAGAATGGCGTTTGAAGCGAATTGCGAGGTTAGACCGTATTACAGTTTCTAATTTTACTTTCTGTTAAAGTCGCCCGGAGGGAACGACCCGTGTTTAACGGTGAATTCCAGATCCGGTACCGGTAATGTAGTACAAACATTTCGTACACAATGTGTGTAAAAAAGCGCATTGGTATTCGCACTTTCGTTAGTGCACTTTCACGGCGACTTCGTAACGGTAGCCCTTGCACTCCTGCCACTGCACATGCACCGGCTATGCAGTTCTCTACGAGTCGTACGCAAAGTAGCATAGTAGAATCTTTACGTTTTCTCGAACAACAGAAAAAAAGGAGCTGGTTACAAGTTACAGTGGTACCTCGAGTACGACCTTAATCCGTTCCTGATGTTTAGATTTATACCGAATAGGACGTATACCAAACCACCGTTTCCCTTACTTGTATGATCAGTCAGTTAATAATACATCAACTCCGAATATAATTGATTATTAATTTAATTTTTCCTCTGAGATAATTATTTACAAATGACGCAAACTTCACAGAAAAAATTTGTCACGTCCAAACAGGACGTATTCCAAAGCAGACGTATATCGGGGTACCACTGTATAGACATTGCTGTCGAGTGTAAGTTCCAGTGAAATGTAACAATGTATGGTAACTTTAAAAATATTTCTATACCGTGATACAACGAGTTAACCAGCGACAACGTACTTGCACTGTCGTTGAAATATCAGAGGTTGAAATACGCGAGCACAATTTAGAAAGAATGTAAAATTAACTGGTATCTAGAATGCAAGAGATACGTTTCCTGCTGCGCGAACTTCTGTTCAAACGTTACTTCGCACGTGTTAGAAAAGTTCTAATGAACCGTCATAAAAAGCTGCAACAGGACTGTTCCGCAGGAAAGTTCTCTTACTAAGTTTGACTTCAAGCTATGCGTCTAACGTCAATGAACTACAAACGGTGGAAGAAATTATGAGAATTATAGTTATGCAACGTCGTTTTGCGCTATCCGTTACAAATTATGTTTTTTCATCTAATCAAATATGTTCCCGGGGATTCCAGCTAATCTCCCAGCTGCATGTAACGAGACGAATGAAGATTATCGATCAAACGATCGATCGCTGTCAGCTCGTTCGATCGCGAAACAAACATTCTGACGATGTTACCGATAAGTCAGAGGCGTTCACGGTAATCGAGTCATCGATCTCGATTCGAAATCATCGCGAATTCGTATCGCTGTTTTAAAACGCGAACTTCTTCGCAGACTGAACTATCCACGGTCTGCGTTCATAGTTTCCACTTTTAAGAACGTGATTGCACCGTCGTGGCACTCCAACTCTTAATTGAAAGGTTACGAAACCTCCCGTTTAACGAATAAACGCTCGCTGTCCGAGTCGAGAGCAGAACCTATCTACAGAATACTAGATCATCTATTATATCTCTTTCAGCAGATATGACTGTGCATAATCGCGATACATGAAAACTCGGATACATCAAACGACGCGTAAGACTCGACGCTTAGATTTTACATAATTTCGCGTTACGTAATTCGACGCCTTTTGTTCGAGCCCATCGAATCGAGCTTTTAATTTAACTCGGATTTTTGTCCAGCCGAGTCTATAAAACGATTCAAAGTTCTTGCAGACAGATCGATCGAGTAGAAATCACCGAGTTCATAGTATTATGATGCATTTCCGTGTATTTATGTAGCCGGGAACCTACACGTAGCAGACCATGTGTACGGTTTATGAATGGAACAGCACGCGTGCGCGACCACTGGAACAGTTCGAGCCGGCAGCGAAAGTGACCTGCTCTAACTTGAGTACCTGTTCCAACGCAGAACGTGTATAAGCTAGCGTTTTACACGCACACGCTAGGGCCTTCGTAAGAACTGCCTCGGATAATTGCATCGAGTAGCTAACCGCTCGATGGACCCGAGAGTGCACCGCTGGCTGCAAGTGTGAAATGCACCGCGGGGTGCCATGAATGGTAGTCCCCATAGTTTCAGCAATTTCAAATGGGAAAACTGGTAATTTATAAGTAGATTTTTGTTCACGGAATGTCACTCGGAATCGACATGCCTACCGATCGTTTTACGCTGCCGGTCGCTGTAATTTCTAGTTAATAAGCGTCTGAATCTGTACACCGTCCACGGAAAGTTTCAAATGATATCTAAAGTTTCGATTCAGAAAAATTGATCTTATTTCAGAGAACCGTGACGAGATGCGTTAAAATGATTTTTATACCGATCGTTATTATGTCTGGATGCGCCTGTAATAATCATACCCATCGTTTCTAATAACGAGTAGAAAGTTGCGTTGATAAATTTTAACGTTAATAAGGGAACACGGGAAGAGATATACAACTTTCTCGTTCACGATGCCAACATTAAGTTATTATTTAAAATTAAATAAAACGTTGAGATACAATCACTCGATACAAGAGACTCGAGGTGAACTTGAAACTTTCCTATGCAACATCGAGGAGATGCATGTTGCACTATGACGCGAAACAGAGAAACTTTCCTCTGTTTGATTAGAAACAACAGAAAAGACAATTAAACGCTTCATCGACATTGCCTTCTATGATGTATCTTGAACTTTCATAGCAGCTTTATAGACACACGATTTCATTATTTTTCTATTACTTCTTTTTATTTGTTCAGCCTCTCGGATACATTGCCGTGCCCTGTCATGTCGAAATAGATATCTGCATGGAACTCGGCCAGTCGTACTACCGGTGCAAATAATTGTGTTATACCGGGACACGTTAGATAATGATCACTACAGATCGCTCGTATCCGCGTGTGAACGAAAGCACATGTACCATTGCCAGGACATTTCCTTATCTGGCCTTCCCTCCTTTCGCCTTGAAAACTACCGTAGTACATAGTACGCTCGTATAGTTATCCGAGACAAATGCCAGACATAGCTGTATCACTTGCGAGTTCAGTTCCAGGCATTAAAATGCAAAAAGATATGCAGGAAGCGTGTATTATGCATATACAGTGGGTCACAAAATTATTCGCTCACCGTTTAAAACAGAATACCTCGTTTAAAATTGGACCAAATGACTTAAGATACGTGCCTTTGTCGTTTTAAAAAATTAAAATTTGCCGAAATAATTTTGTGACCCACTGTACATAAGAATAATCGTACGTGGGATAATCTTTGCCATTTAATTCACAATACTGCCCAACGATGCAACATAAAAATTATTACATTTTTTAAATAGCGAAGCCTGATACTCAACACCCTTTCTATCACTTCTCAAGCATCGATGTTATTAAATTACACTAATTGCCAATCAAGAATATGCTGTCGGTTCATCACTGCCTTAGAAAGTATAACAGAATCTGTTATTAAAGAATCCAATTATATTAACGCGTTATGTTCGACATGATGCGTGTAATTAAGTTTACAAGGATATACTAAAAAGAAAGCTCAGGTGAAAAAGCATTTGCTGAAATCATAATCATCGATGTTCCGACCTATTTAATCCCGCAAATAATTGCGTCGTTTCCACGCGAAACGAACAAGGCTTGTCATCTGTCGTGCTCCTGTTCGATTAACATTAATATTATATCCGTGACACGTCTACTTTGCACGAAATCGTCCTAATAATGTTAGAACAACCGTACGGTGTCGATGCACGACGTGCATTAATAAACTCGGTTCGTGGCTGAGCGCGCGCTATGCATTGACATTAATTTGAAATCTGTTCGACCAGCAGATCTTATCGATTTATTTCGAAAGCGTATCGTGTTTTAACGTACGCCCGAACTTGGCGACATTTTGACGTATGTATGTGACACGTACCGCGATACACGCTTTTGCATTTATGTTTACATTTGTATACTTCCCTGTACTTCTAATAGGAACGCAACGAATCTACCGTATCTATGTATGTATCTTCGTGATTTATTAAGTTCATTGAATATTTATGACGCGTGGATGCAATTATTTTGCAATGATTTTCATATTTTAAGCGACCGAAATGCAAGAAACGAAAATGATTCAGTGGAAGTTTTAATTTTAGCAATGAAATAAACTATTTAAGATAACGCTAAATTTAATTTATTTTTTCTGACAAACTGCCAGGTATGAAACTTTCACAAAACGCCGTTCTTTCATTCCATTATATTAAAATAGCCGTCTGATCCTTGA